AAAAAACCTCGATTTCATCCCTAGCACAAGAGAAGACTGATCTCCATTTATCTCTAAAACTTCGTGTTACAAGTCCCGCATCAATCTAATATAACAAATCGATAAAGGCCGTTCCCACATACACGCTCTTGCCGATACAATGGCTCTTCTGTGTTTATTTTTAATTAATAATTTCGGTACCGAAACACATGTAATCGAGGATAAAAACGATCGACCTGCGCGCCTCGACCGCGCATGGCGGATGCGGCCATGCTCTTTCCACGATCTTCCCCCTCGAGATTTCAGTCCACGCACGCATTCACGCAGTATGCGCCGCCCGCGCACGTGGCAGATGTTCAGTTTTATGCGCCTCACGCATGCGTCCCTGCCGGAAACCCCTCCACCAATACCGATCCCTCCTCACGTGAGCTGCTCTTGTATATCACACACACAATATACATTTTTCTTCTCGATTATAAAACACGCATTTGCAATTTCGAGATCGATTGTTATTTTCACAAGTTGACAAAAGAATTCGCGAATTCTCTCTTTTGCTCAATTCTTGTCCGAAGTAGCAGTAACTTGACGCGCGTTACTTGACGCACACGTGAACACAATTAATGTACTCGTTCGACAATGTGCGCGTAAAAAGTCACCGAAAGAATTTCGCCAAGTCAAGATGATTATTTAATTTTATAAGATGATTAAAATGTATCAAGAGTTCGATAGCGCGCGTTATATTTCGAATCTCAATCGAGGAAATAAACTCGAGAATAAAATTCTAGTAGTTGTTAATCAAAAGATGGTCTCTGTCAGTTCTTCCGTGTTGATTTTTTTTTTTAATTGTTTTTTTGTTACTTTTGAAGAATCGCGCGCGTTTTACCTAACATTACTCAACAACCGTCCGAGTGTGACGGATCAACAAATCGTTCAGTTTTTATATAGATTATATTACAGAGTTTCCGCTCGATAAGCTCTCGCGCACACAAGTTCGCTCTTCCACTCGCTTACAAGCTCCAAGATAATGTCGCAGGCATATCTAAGAGAAGGCGGAGTTGTCGGGGCTCTCGAACGCCCATTACACGACTTTGAATCCCACGAGGCGTAACGAAAATCGATATATCTCCCGACGTAGGATCGATCTCGATAGAAGGTATTCAAAGTGTCGAAGGTGCTAATAGTCAGCTATACGCGGTCACTCGCGAAACCCTTTCCGCTCTCGTGATACTGTGCGACGTGTATCGCAATAATAAATATAAAAGTATCACGAGTGCAAAGACCGGTCAACTTCTCGTACTCGCAACTCGCTACATAGTCGCGAGAGCCGATTACGAACACGCCAACCAGAATCTGCATCCTTGATAATAGTCTTTCTCTTCGGCGACGAGAATAAAAGTTTCGCCTCGCGATCGAAACGCGCGATACCGAACTATTTTCGATAATTATGCCATGATCGGTCGAGCAGAGCGAGTAAAACGAAACGTAAATCGATTTCAACGTTTCCATTGACGGTACATAGGCACCACGTTGAAATAAAACGAGAAATCTAGCATCGGGGCTCGCGCGCGCGCGCGAGCCGAGACAATGCTATGATAATTTATTCCCCGGATGCAAATTTTTTACACGAGTACGCGATATATACGTGTAATCCATCATGCTTCATCGAATTGGTACAAGCACCTTGCGCTGCGGTGGTGGAATTCCTTTCTGGTTTTTTTTTTTTTTTTTTTTTTATTTCGAACACCAACCTCGCGCGCGAGAGGTTATCGCGATCGACATGCGAGAAGTATATGTTATATATCCAATATATAATAATTTTGTTCGCGTACAAAAATATAATATAATTTACGTCAGAACTGGCTGTAGTTTGCACTCAACGGCGCGTTTCAACTTCTGTGCTTCCTCGCACAATCTTGTTTTCCTCATTTGTCTTACGATTGCGCAAATGTTCTCCGAGTGTCACGTGTTCACCGAAAATAATCAAATTATTTGTCCTAATTATAAAAAACGTTCGCGAGATAAAAAAAAAAATTATTAACAACTCTGTGAATAAGCTTCTGTTAAAACACAATCGTTTGATATTGTTGAAACAAAGTTGCTTACCGACTTATTTTTGTGATCAAGAAAAAATTTGAGAGAAAAAAAAACAGCATCGACATACGTTGGCTGATAAAAACGAATAAATTAATTACATAAATAAAACGATTACGTGCGTTACACCGGCGACGGCGGAGATTTACAGCTTTTTCGCGTAAATGTGCGAAGTTAACGATTCTCGACGTCATACAAGGTAGCGCAATGCGACTACCTTTAAATAGCTCTGCGATTAATTTCCAGTCGTCGACTCGATCGCCATTTCTTTCAGCGCACGCATTACGCTCGTGCTTTATATATATATACATATATATATATATATATATATATATATATATATATATATNGTGCGAAGTTAACGATTCTCGACGTCATACAAGGTAGCGCAATGCGACTACCTTTAAATAGCTCTGCGATTAATTTCCAGTCGTCGACTCGATCGTGCTTGTGGTAGTTCTTGTTGTTACGAGAATAAGTGTTAAAACACAATATTGCAATACATATATATGTATATATATATATATATATATATTATATCAATGTACATATACGGTGGCCGTACATCGGGCCACCATTTTCTCCCATCAAGCCCTACGGAATAAGGATGATGGAAGAATTTCTTATGTATTGGTCTAGAAAGAGTAACTCATTAATCATACACGCCATGCGCCGAATATCTCGATTGATCGACAACGAGATAACCGCGTAATGAGCTCTGCTGCTCTTCTTGGTCCATTCTCGGCTAAAAAAAAAAAGTTATTACCCGCGCACTATCGGATTAATTCGTTTCCGCGTGTCGTCGTAGGTTAAACGACGAGGAGTTACTTCAACAAAGAATTAAACGTATTGTGAGAAGAATTATTCGCTTGTGAGAATCAAGGTCGAGTTACTTGTATGAGTGCCACCTGACTGCAGGTGTTTCAACTGTCGTAAATCATATATTGCTAACTTTCAAACAACAAAACTCAAATAGTAGTACAGTCGTACATGAAAAAAAAAAACGTTTTTTTTTTTTTTTTGTAGGAATGTAATAAACACATTTAAAAAGGAGAACAAAAATTATCTCTCGTTATTTTACGAAAGTCTCGAGTCGCTTTGAAACGTTCAATAAAAATTTTTCTTTCATTCTTATCCGCTCTCTCTACACCTCTCTTCTCCCCGACCGAATTGATCAATTATAATCTTAAAATAAGTCCCGATTTGGTTATATACGCGCGAGACATCGACGTGTATGGATTTCTAAGGAGAATTTAACAAGCGAACCTTCGTCAACGGCCGATAGCACGCTCGACGTAGAGTGTCTCGTAGCTAGGGGTATATTCTGTCGGACGCAAAGTAATTAAATGCAGAGAGAAGAAGGGGAACTCGAAGACGAGAAAGAAAGAGAGAAAGAGAGAGAGAGAGAGAGAGAGAGAGAGAGAGAGAGAGAGAGAGAGAGAGAGAGAGAGAGACTCGAAGGGCTGGACGAGTCCGGTGGGGTTGTAGGAAAGACGAGGGTAGGGAGGAAGAGGTGGCGAGGGCGTTCCTGAAGCCACTCCCCAGCCTCGAGTCCTCCGGAACTGGAACCTGCCTGTCTGGAAACCCGTAGTTATATACCTGAACAAAGTGCACCTTGGCATGCAGGTAGAGCGCCAAGTTGCACGCGCGCTTGTTACAATCTCCTTGCCATCTCCCTCCCTCCTTCTATCTCTCTCTCTCTCTCTCTGTCTTCCTCTTTTCCTTCCCGACATTTGCGCAAGTGTGTCCCCTAACGTTGTCTCCCACATGCGCGGCTCGATCGTGTCGCGCGCGTACAACATTTCTTCTCTCCGCTGTAGCTCACCTACACAACTCCTTTCATTGTGTGCGACAGAAATCGAGCGGTGTATAAATTCCAAAGAAAACAACAACAACAACAAAGCAATAAGACTTTAAACTAGTCTATTTTAGTTTATAATGTCGGAAAATTTTAATTAAGAGATAAGATATTGAAAACGAGTCTCGATCTAATTTTACACAGACACGTGTGTGTGTGTGTGTGTATAGATTTTATCTGATAAAAAGGAAACTGAATTTCCGCAAAGAAAAAAGAAACACAAAACTTCTCTCTCTCTATCTCGTTTTTCTAATTCTAAAAACCTGTATTTCTGAGATAAAAAGATAATTAATCTATATACGATACTTTTTGTATATACTGATGCATGTATATCAGGATATATATTTATAGAGACAGATAGATGTGTTCTCTCCGAGCGTGTGTAACTGTCTCGCGGAAAAGTTTTGCCCGAGATTTATTAAATATCCAAAATATCCATTCGCGACGCGTAACCGAGCTCCTTTAAACTTTAACACTTAAGACCATCGTCAATTACACGTTTCCCCCCCCCCCCATAATGCTTCACGATGCGCTATTTCACGGTGAATGGTGAATATTTCGAAAGGAATGGCCGCTCCGCGAAGTGCATTCGGTCGGCGTGTTTATGCTAATTAGCCGCGCAAAGGTGCGGCCAGGTGCGGCAGCGTGGACTACAGTGAATGCTTGGATTGGCTCTTACAAATTGCCGCGTTAATTCGATACGCTCCCGACGCAAAGAGCCGCGAGCGCCAGATGTATTTAGCTGTTCTTGCCGACCAACGTATGAGCGCGGCACATACACCGAGTGACTCTTTTTATTTAGCATCCGAATTTCGATCGTTTTCCGATACTAACGTGGAATAAAAAAGCAAACTCAACGGCGCTCGCTCAACGGTAAAATTAAAAGAACGTTCGTTTTTTAAAATTAGCGATCCTCCGATCGTAGAATATGGCTTGATTATGTAACGTAGTCTCTTTAATCGATCAAATCTTTTTATGTGATTTTTTTTTTTTATTTTTTTTATTTTTTTAACACCGAAGTGTTAAAAAAACACACGACAGGTAGAAAGATAAACATCGCAAAGAAACTTACCAGTTTCTAGATCAACGGTGTACGGGAGTCCTGCCCAAGGATCATCCTCTTGCGATTCTTCGGGTTCTTTCGCCGCGTCGTCCTGAAAAATAGACCGATGAAATGCGGAGATTAAGGAAAAGAGGATTTCGGAGAGGTGTCCTCCGAAAAAATAGAAGAGATCCAATAATATCTCTGTGCAATCGATATATATATATATATCGCGAAAGTCGAAACAAAACTAAACACGTCCGCCGAAAAAAAAAAAAAAAATACTCAAACAAAAAAAGTACAATATGTATTTAACACAATTAATTAATTTTAATTAATCTCAGTTAATAATGATGCGCGTGCGTATTGCCGTAATGAGGAGCCGGTAAATTAGCTAGAAAATTAGATTGAAAGAGTAACGCCGAGAGACGTAACGAGCACTGACCGTAATTAACGACGTTCTCTCTCACATCCGACGAAGTGTCAAACAGGTTGAGACGGTCCGAAACGAAGCGAGAAGGGAGAGGGGGGCGACGAATCTTTCGAAGAGAGATGTGATCGGGGGTGTATACTCTCTCTGAATCGCGCACAACCGAACGTAATTCCAACAATGATGATTACGAGAATCTTGTGGTGCCCACACGAGAGATTTGATGCCCGGCGCAACAATGGCCGAATTCAGGCGGACGCCATTCCTTGGCCCGGCCAAGGTCGGTCCTTATGGAGACGTCATAATCAAACGATCGACCCTACCAACGTGAAAAAAAGGCCCAAGGGCGCGTATGCCCCGGGCCATAGGTCGCTCCGTAGCTTGGCGCGTTACAAGCGAGCTGCAGTGAAATGAGTTTAATGAAAACAGTATTGTGCCGGATCATTAATCATAGCCGAGTCCCTGATAGCGGCCATCCGCACAACCACCGATCCTCTATCTATTCCACTCTCTCCCCTCCTCCTCTTCCAAAACCTCCTTCTCTCCTCGTTTCGATCTCTTTCTCTCTTTCTCTCTCTCTCTCTCTCTCTTTCTCGCTCGGTCCGACCCCTCTCAAATCTTTCATCCCCCTCTGCCTACGCGCGCTCCGGTCACTTTTTCATCCCGACAATATGATATATCGTTGTTGAGTGGTGCGTTACGCGCCGGGATTCTATGGAGTTATGAATACAAAATTCAATCTATATATCTGGCGCCCTAAAAATCGAACACGCGCGAAACGAAAGCGACAGCTATACGCTCGATCGCCATTAGAAATGTGCATTCAATAACCGCATTTTTTATTTTTTTATTTTTCATTTTTCGTGAATTTAAACAATTTATTTAAAAACATGTTACGTCGTACGTAATACGCGCGATATATATTTTTTTCTCTCGAAGAACGAATATTTTATACGCGATCTCGCATTCGCCAAAAGCTGAGAAAACGTTTATAAGAGTTTTTTTTTTTTTTTTGCCTTGTGAAGTCGACCCTAAAATATTTTTTGAAGAGTCACGGACGCGTATAGCGCGCGCCTTATTTTGGGCCCACAACGTCATCTCTTTCGACTCTCGAAGGAAATGTCGGTCCTGCGCTCGACGACGCAGTCCTCGATGCGACAATGGGGGTCCTGTCAGCGATACGGACTTGCATGGCTGGCATAGCTCTCAATTAAGGTTTACGAACTGTTACGACTGTCTGGGCTGATCAGCCGCCTCACACAAGGATCAAGCGCGCGCGCGCGCGGATAGAAAGCATAATTCAAATCAGCCTTGATCGCCGCGAGTAAATACGAATTCAATATAGTATATCGCGGCCGATATGACGGGCGAGTCACGCCGCCGCCAAAACGAATATCATATAATTCGACACATTTCACGTTCGATAAGTCTCGTCGTACCCGATAATTAAGGTGTTTCTTCAAGTGGAAATTTTGAAGATTTAAAAAAATCAAGCTCTTAAACACACCGGCAACCAAATCTCTCTCGAAACATTTGAGTTAAAAATGTGGAATAAAAAACTAGATGTAAAAAGCAAACAAAAATTATAAATAAAAAAAAAGGAGAATATCGCTCGGATTACGTCATTGCAAAACACTTTCGACGAATTGAGTTGCAAATTGACGACTACGTCGGGAGATGGGGACTTTAAAAAGCAAGTAGTATAATAATCCCGCATTTGGATCATCGCATGCGCGCCATTTTGTTACGAAATTCCAGCCGACGGAAACAATTGGGACACGGAGAAGGAAGCCAAACCCACTTCGGCTGGCCGGGCGCGTTTTCAATTTCCAGGACCATCAATACGTCCTTCGGAATACTCCTCCCAGGGTGTACCAATCTCTCTCTCTGTCTCTCTCTCTCTGTCTCTCCCCAAGTCCCCTCTCTTTTCGTGTGCCGTCTTTTTCTCTCTCTCTTTCTTTTTCATGAGAAACGTCTCGCGGATCGACGACGTTCTCTTTTTCTCTCTCTCGCTTCTCGTCTCCCTATCCGCTCTGATAGGTCCGTCGATGGCGCCCCTCGTAGCGAAGGGGATGCTGCGTACATCTATCATTTCGCCAGACCCCGCCGGCTTCACGGATACATCGCAGGAACAAATGAACGCTAGCCGTTTTGATGGTTTTATGAATACGCCCGGCGAGTGAAGGAGATGGAGAGGATCCGTTGTTTTCGCTCGTCGAGATCCTTCTCCCTCCTCTCCCTCCCTTTCTCCTCGTACGCGCGCGAATCGAGACTCGTCGTTTCTCTTCTTCTCTCACCGCGGATTCTCTCTGGCACCGAGACGGAGTCGCCCTAATGGAGCCCCGTCGCCTAGAGCTCGCCTCATTTGAATCGCGTCGGTGGATTAAAAATTCGCGTCAGTCACGACAGCTTGAGAAAGTGATTACCCGCGATCGCGGATAGTAGTAAACGAGGAGGAGTGTAAGGATATATATATATATCTCGCGCGCGGCGCGATTTATCTTACGCGATAACGCATCCGCGTTGAAACAATTCAACAACGCGAGGCGGCGGACGTCTCTAAGTGGGAATTGATCGAAGCTTGCATTGTGTTTGCCGCGGACGGTCAAATAATTGCGAATCATCGCACAGTCTGATGAAACACGCACACACATAGACACACACGTCCCGTATCGTAATGATACGCATAACGTTCCCCGTGCAAAATGAATGTTGATCGAAGCGTATCGAGTCGAGTATATATTTATATACGGAAGTATCGATATACAAAGGTGGGGTCAAAGCCTCTTGTTGCAACTTCTTAAATGTAATTGAAGCTTCTTGTATATCTCGCGAGAGTACTAGATATTGTGAGATGATCGCGTTGTAAACAACCCGATAATTATAGAGGAATCAAAAATTTATACGCGCGCGCGCGCGTGTGTGGGAAGTCGCAAACGTGTCCGCGGAGCACACGCGAGAGAGAGAGAGAGAGAATTCTAGTCTTGTCTCTCGCGCGACGCAAATGCTTTCCATCCTCGAATCGCTCGATCGAACTTCCTCTTTCCTACTTTCTAGACTGACGTTCTTCTAAACGCTTCCATCATTCATTCCCGTTTCGCAGCGAGACGGGAGTCTTGCTCTAATGGAGCCTGTCGCCGCGACGTGCACCGATCATTTAAATCTTGGCTCTGGATTAAAAATTTCTGCCAACTCACGGCGGCTTGAGATAATTGTACAACAGAAACATGCAACGTGCTTTACGGCAATTCAGTCGCCTCTAGCTTCTTCTTCTTCTTCTTCTTATTCTTCCTACACCCGACGTCGTTTCCCTCGGATAGCGCGACATGTTGACAAATATTCCACGTTGCACGATCATTTATAAAAGCATTTTCGTTGCACTTTGTTCGCCTTGGCTTCAGACGATTTACTTGTGATTTCTCGCGGAGTCCTTCCCCAACCCCCCACCCCCTCCCCTCGACGGTCATCATAAATCATTTCGATCGAGCCTAATAAATTGTTCGAAAAATGTGCCGTTTGAGAAAAAAAAATCGGGAACAATATGGCGGGATATCGAGAATTCAAACTCGTCGTGAAAAATTGCCGGCGATTTAAAAAAAATCTCGAGACGAGAAAGCGATACACTTGATTGCGAGAAGAAGTGTGCGCGAAAAGTCAAATTTTCTCATTACTATCTCTGACAACGACGGGCGTTCGGCCCGTTGTGCGCAAAGACGTCGCCTCTGTCTTTGATTAAAACAATTCTGCGCTCGGACGTAGGAACAATGCTTGTCAATAATCCGACGCGGACGTGCACGACAGAGAGGAAGAGTTCCGAGAGTGGACTTCTTCTTTGTTCCGAGCTGTTCGCGGACCGCGCGTCTCGGATCGATGTGTCGGCCTTTCGATCGGGACCGAGGATCTTCCCCGTATTATTGGGCACTCGAAGGCGGCGGCGAGCCCTCACAAAGGTGGGACCCGCTGGAACAATGCGATCTTCGTGGAGGAACAGGATGGAGACGAAGCAGCGCATAGCGACGTCGGGGAAAGAAATAAAGAAGAAGGAACATCGGACTACTGAAGGTCGTAAGAAGAAGAGAAAGAGAGAGAGAGAGAGAGAGAAGGGGAAGGCAAAGAAGCGGACACGAACGAGACACAGAGAGAGAGAGAGAGAGAGGGAGACGAAGAACGTCGAGAAGTCTGATGGGTTACCCGCCCAGAACGTCGATGCAACGTCATTGTCGCTGACCATCGTATGGATGAGCCTCTTCTCGTATAGGCTCGAATCTGCCGGATACTTAAACGCACCTCGTCGTGTCCATCCACCGAAACGCCGCAGGAGAAGTCGAGAAAAGTCGTCGGCTATCGAAAAACTCACCTTATATGAGAAGATTCAACGGGGAGAGAACCCAATCGACGAAGAAGCCAGCTTGTGTTCTTCAACGACCGGTTTTAGATTATGCCCGAGTGATTAGTAAATTAACACAAACGCTGTTTCAACGCGCGATCGTACAGACGCGCGGTAATCGAGCTCGAGAATTAAGAAACGTTATCCCGTTACGCCATCAACGATGGGGAGTCAAGATCAAAACTTTACAATCCTTTCTTTATTGCGTGTACAGATGTTGGAGAAATAATATTTCATATTGGATTTGTTAATTACATACCACTCCAATAGTTATTATTCTATAGGTTGTAATGAGAAAAGAAAAAAACACCGAAAAAATTGTATTCTTGTTTTGAGGATATCCCACTTACTTTAAGTATATTTTATACTAAAATAGGCGCCAACAAGAGTTTCTTATTTTAAGAGGAAAATCCTCTAAATAGTAATATTGATAAGAATATATACTGATTAGAATATAAAAAGTCTCTATATATAGAAAAACATATATATCTCACTATCGAAAAAGACTATATTCTTAAATTAAGAATATGTTCTTAAATAAAGAATATATTCTTAATTTCAGAAGAATATCATCTAAA